TTTCTTTCTTTCTTTCTTTCTTTCTTTCTTTCTTTCTTTCTTTCTTCTTTCTTTCTCTCCGTCCCCTTCTTCTTTCTTTCTCTCTTTCTCTCCCCCTCCCCTTCCTTCCTTTCTTTCTCCCTCCCCTTCCTTCCTGCCCTCCCTCCCTCCCTTTCTTTTCTTTCTTTCTTTTTTCTCTCTTCCCCTCTCTCTTTCTTTCTTTTTCTCCCTCCCCCTCCCTTCCTTCCTTCTCTTCCCTCCCTCCCTCCCTCCCTTCCTTCCTTTCCTTCTCAAGCATCTGAATGTAAATCACGTGACCATGGGGAATGCCGTGTGAAAAACGGCCATAAGTCACTTTTTTCAGTGCCATTGTCACTTCAAACAGTCCCCCACTGGTCTCGTGATTATACCGCAACAGTCGTGAGAACCAGTCATAAGGCCCCCTTTCTTCATGCTTTTTATGTGCTCAAACAGTGACTAAATGACTAAATGAACTGCCTGTGTTGTATGACATTGTCTGAGTGACCTTTTGGGTTACTTCTCTATCTAAATGACCATGCGGGGTTATGATGAGAAAACAAGAAAAGGGACGAATCCTTGGAACTTCTGAAGAAATGTCATCAATAAATACAAACTTCACACTGAAAATGGAGTTCGTTACCTTAGTAAATGGCGGAGAAAGTCTTCCATGATCCCGGTGGGATTTAAATGTTGACTGAGAATAGGAAATAAAATAAACGCATGCCCTACCTTCGCTGTCTGAACTGGAAAGCCTGCGCTTATGTATTCTCCTCATCTCTTTCCCGTATCGGAAGCTTTTTTGAGACCCCTCGCTTTCCGAATCTTCCTTGTAGTTGACTTGTCGCTTCTGATTCCGCCGAGACCTTCGTCTTGTTTCCAAATAATCCTCATCGCTGTATTCGGAAGAACCATCGGTTTCTGTGCGAGGCAGCAAGCCAGGAAGGAAGGAAGGAAAATGTCTAGGTCGGTTTAACTAGGGCAGTGTTTGCCAATCACAGCCACGTTGAGACGGGTGGACTTCAACTCCCAGGATTCATGCTGGCTGGGGAATTCTGGGAGTTGGAAGTCCACTCATCTCATCGTTGTCATAAGTTGAGAAGCACTGACCTACCATAACATTTTCTAACCCCAATAACCATTTGTGACGCTCATTTCCCACAATTCCCTTGCCGACAAGTCTACTGCTGAGAATTCTGGGAGTTGAAGTCCACACATCTCACCATTGTCATAGCTGAGAAGCACTGATCTACTATAACATTTCTAACCCCAATAACTATTTGTGACCCTCATTTCCCACAATTCCCTTGCCGGCAAGTCTATGGCTGAGAATTCTGGGCGTTGAAGTCCGCACATCTTACCACTGTCATAGTGGAGAAGCAACGATCTAGCAAACTTGAATATCTGTTAACTATTCAGATATGATTTTCACCCAATCTGAGGGAAAACTTGGTTAAAGAGAGCCAGTTTGGTCTAGTGGTGAAGGCACCAGGCTTGAAACTGTGGGAGACTGTGAGTTCTAGTCCTACCTTAGGCATGAAAGCCAGCTGGGCCACTTCCTCTCTCAACCCAACCCACCTCACAGGGTTGTTGTGGGGAAAGTGGAAGATAGGCTGTACCAAATAGTCTGACCCCCAAATAAGACCATTCCAAATATTTCAGTCCATTCCCAGGTAAGACCATGTTATGTGGAACGAGCATATACGCATCCATGCAAAATGTTTCAGAACAGCTCAATCCTTGCTTTTCCTGTCTGAAAACGCTCAAATTCAACAGGGCTGGCTGGGGAATTTTGGGAGTTGTAAGTCCACAGGTCTTCAAGCTACTGTTGTGGTTCGCCGGCAGCAGGTGGGGACGGCTGAGGTCTCGGAGAGCGAGGACTCAGATGGGGGGGCCTGCGTGTGATGCAGGGATGGGGCCAGGACTATCAGGGAGTGGAGTGCGGCCTTTGGAGATTGGAGGCTGGCAGCAGTGAGGATGAGGTCCCCGAGGAGCCTGTGCCCAGTGTGCATGCATGCAGGGCTGCTTGTAGGAAAGAGCAGCTGCAGCAGCACGGGCGACTCAGGCTGCAAGGTAATGGCCCCTCCCTTAAGAGATAAAAGCCAGCTGAGAGACTGGTGTTCTTTGCAGAAAGCAAAGAAGTTTTTCTACTCAAACCTTGTGGACGTTCAGAGTACCTTGGCTGGTGTTTGGAGACTCTGTGTTTGAAATATTTCTTGGCAATTTTATCTAGTGTTCTTGGCAGCCTTGCACCACCTTGGCAAGGCTCGTCCTTATCAGAGACAATCAGTTTGAAACAGCCTTTGAACCGGGAAGGAACAGAATCCGTAAAGAATCATTAAAAGGTTTTGCTGTTACCTCTGTTCCGTGTTTGTTTCCTAGGAACAAGGTTTGGGTCAGAACAGCTGCCAAGGTTGGACACCCCTCATTTTCTTTCTTTTAAAGACCCCATAATCCCTTGAGGGATGGAGTCTGGGCAACTGAGTGGAGCTAGCAGAGTGTTTTACTGGCCAGATGCCCTTGCTGTCGCCAATGCGGAGTTTTGTTCAGCAGATATATCCTCATTGTGCCCAGAGAGAGAAATATCTGCCTTTACCTAGGATCGAACTCACAGCCTCCCCAATTGTGAGGTGAGAGCTCCACCTCTAGGCCACCGCACCACTCTAAGGTTGGACACCCATGCTGCACAGAAAGCCCCAAAATAATCCTATCTTATCTTACTGTAAGAAGATGGTTGATTCTCTGGGAAAAGAGACACTGGTCAGAACCACTCGATATTTGGACAGCCATCAAATTACCAAGACTTACCGGAGTCCCCACTTATGTTATCCTCGGA